GTCCACCCGTTGGTTTGAAGTATTTCTATAGCAGGATTCAAGCCGGATCGCGAAAATGCACACAGCGATTTTAAATTTTGCGTTTCCTTAGTTTTTTTCAATTTTGTTTTATTTACATCTACATTCCTTGTTGTTCATCTCTGATCATTTTGTGATCTTCATCACCTTCTACTTCGACTTTAAAGCATGAGCAATACCTCAGATGTAGGAAATTACGTTTTGCTTGTATCGTCATGTTTTATTGCCATGTTGTCATTTTTTGTTGTCATGTTCTGTGGGAATGCGCGGCTCTCTGAGGATATTGCGGAAGCACCACAGTTGCTCTTGAGTTCTAGCCTCGTCATCATCTTCGGTTCTTATCTTGCAGCACCTAAAATGTTATCCGCATAAAGAAATTGCGTTGTTACTTGTATTCTGAAGCGCAATTACAGGACTTGGGAAAAAGCCAAGAGAGCTGGGCACCGCGCGGATGGTGTTAGCATAATTGTGAGGGCGGTGTAGCAAGGAATTACGACTTTCCCACGGCCCGTACTCTGACCCGTGCGTTTTGAGCGGGGGGGGGACCACGACACATCGACAGCTGCCTGGGGGGCTGGTCTGTGATTCGACAGGATCGACCTTCTCTTAATCTTGCATTGTTATCTTCGAACAGGTGGATAGTTTGAGCCGTCCAAGATTTTTACAATTTATTGGAAAACGTTTTTCGCTTCTCGCCTTCGTCAGGGCTGAAAGAGTCCAAAAACAATTGAGATTGTCCCTCGAACGCCTCCACAAGAACTTAAGACTATTTCGATATCCTTAGCAACACCCTACGGTATAAGATCGATAAGTGTGAGTTGGCTCACCTTGATCTCAGCCGCCATGACGTGAGATCGACCACCCAAGCTGCAGGACTACTAACAGTGAGTTTCCACCTCCACTCCGCGACCTCGGCCTCGACCTCATGTAGGTCAAAAACCGCATAGGTCGGCAAAGACGCGAGTTCACGGTTATGGCTACACACTCCTCTTTCCTGTTCATTTGGAGGGTCTTTTGCTGAAATCCAAAGGGCTTCCAACGTTTTCCGTGCAGCGACTTCAGGCTCCTGTGCCAGGATAGACACAGTTACCTGGAAATCGACATCTCCATGATCCTCAACCCGATGGCAACCAAGTGGCGTCCGGACTTGTGATCTTCGTAAGCCATCCAAGTGCTCTTTACCCGTACGCGCAAAGGACGGCCCGTTCCCCCTACATATTCACTACCACATGCGAGGCGTATTAAATAGATCACCCCGACTTCATGCAATCACCTGCTCTACCGGAGGGGCAGACCACACATTCCGGGGTATCACATGAGTAGTCATAAAGACGATTACGTACGAGGAGACGTTTCAAGTTGACTGGGGTATTTCTACCAGCCTAACGTCTTCTTGCAGACCACATTTCATTAGACTCGTACGGATCGCCCCTGCTAACTTCTTCCGAGATAAACGGCCAACAAATGGCACTTTTCCGGAAGATATCACGTTTGTGGCCCGCGTTGTCTGGAAAAACCCTTTCGTAATGGTTGTAACCCCGGATAACGTTAGATACCGCAATCTTGCGTGCTATATCGAGCGATTCCTTTTCCAATGCAACATCAGAGGAGACGTACAGGCAGTTTTGAACATATTGCCAATGACCGCTTGCTTAGTTCTTGCTGGATGTGCGGAATTACAATGAACAAGGATTTCTTATTGCTCGGCTTGCGGTATGTTCCCCATCAATTGGATTTGGATGTTTGAGGAGGGCAGCCCAGTTCTCTACAGGGTTTTCTTTGTAAACTTTATATTGATCGACTGTTCATTCAGGCAGGTGGAAACACATATCGATTTCACCTTGTGTGTGGCATATTATAAGACAGTCATCAAATATAGCGACGCCATCCCAGCAATTGTCTCGAACGATAGTGAGCAACCCTCACAAATTCGCGAGTCACGGTTCATACGGCGACCATTACCCTCTTCGGATGGGGCGCGATCAATTGCTGGAAACTGGGCCCTAGTTTTGCCTGCCTGCTCAGAGTTATGAACCATACGGAGGTGCGCAGAATGATTGGCACAATTGCAAGTGTTCGACCGAGCGGCGCCACCGGCTAAAGCAAATTGTAGAACGGCGGGAATATCCATGGCACAGTCGGGATGGAGAATCCTGCTCTACCCGTTCTGCATGTTCTACAAGCCCCAAGAGAGGTGACCATCGTAGACACCCAAATTTTCAGAATGTTCGCTCACTTACGTTTCAGAATAGTGGCGACAGTATACTGATAAACGCAGCAACACTAACATCACCTTTCACAAAAGCGGAGTATGAAGGAGATACGAGATCCGTCCTAAAGGAAGTATCCGTTAATCAGTAAGCGACAAGGGAGGGTACTGGTCCTAACCACAAGGACTTGACAGGGCGATAATACTCTGCATCTCCAAGACACACACTATATTGCCGCAAACACGGACGGGAAAGAAAAAATTCTGCAAATAATATTCGTAAACTCGAACAAAATGGGTTGTGACGTTGGCTAGAATGCAAGGACTTCCCAGAACGACAATCAATCGGTATGAAGAGTGATAACTATTCTACAGTTTGTCGCATATTGTATGTTCCTGATTCAAGGAACATAAGCTCAGCCAAACGGAATTGAGTTCCGGTGGACCCTGCCACGGCTTCTAAGTGTAGACGCGCATAATAAGCAACATTGAGTGGAACAACCGATTAAAGATCTCGTGGTTCTTCAGCATAATCTTGGACAACTGCTCCAACATATCCCCCGCCCCCTAACAATCGAATATGTTGCTCGATTAGTTGTCCAAAGTTAAGCCTGTCAACGAAGGTTGTGTTTGTGAGTCCATTCGATGTGACATCACTTGTACACCAACGTTTACGATATGAAGCCGAATGAGAAGCTACGTACGAGCTTGCTTTGATGCCACGAAACGTACGCTCAACGCTTTTGGGTTCACCATTTCCCAAATCATTGAGTCTCTTGGAGAGTGTCTAAAATGTTACCATCTTCAATGGTCAGGAACATACTTAGCAGGCAGCTGCGTTGGATGGCTATGAGCAACCGCTCGCACTTACTGGCCATAATATTTATGTCCAGAATCGAGGCAACCCGTATTGGATCGCAGAGCTCTCTTCTTCTCTACTTGTCGCTATATGATGACTGTCTTATATATGGCAGCACACAAGGTGAAATCGATATGTGTTTCGAGTCCTGCTGAATGAACAGTCGATCAATATGAAACGTTTACCAAAGAAAACCCTGTAGAGCAACTGGCTGCCCATCCTCCAACATCAAATCCAATTTGATGGGGAAGATACGAAGCGAGGCACTAAGAATATCTTGTTCATTGTAGTTCCGGCACATCCAGCAAGAACTAAGCAAGCGGCGTCGTTGGGGCAATATGTTCAAACTGCTGTACGGTCTCCTCTGTGTTGCATATGGAAAAAGTAATCGCCTCGCAATATAGGCACGCGATGCGGTACTCTAAACGGTTATCCGGTTACAACCATTTACGAAAGGATTTTTTCCAGACAACGCGGGGCCACAAACGTGATATCTGTCGGAAAACAGTGCCAATTTTGTTTGGCCGTTTTATCTCGAATAGAAGTATAGGCAGGGCGATAACGCGTACGGAGTCTACATTGAAATGTGGTCTGCAAAGAGACGTTAGTGAGCTGGCTAGAAATACTCCCAGATCAACTTGAAACGTCCTCCTCGTACGTAATCTCCTTTCCTGACTACTCATGTTGATACCCCGGAATGTGTGGTCTGCGCCCCTCCGGTAGCAGGTGATGCATGAAGTCGGGCGGGTGATCTTATTTCATACGGCTGCTCGCGCATGTGGTAGTGAATATGTAGGGGCAAACGGGCCGTCCATTTGCGCGTACGGGTTTAATAGAGCACTTGATGGCTTACGAAGATCACAAAGTCCGAACGCCACTTGGTTTGCCATTCGGGTTGAGGGGATCATGGAGATGTCGATTTCCAGGTAACTGTGTTATTCCTGTGGCAACAGGACCTGAAATTCGCTGCACGGAAAACGTTGGAAGCCCTTGGATTTTCAGCAAAAGACTCCCAACTGAACAAGGAAAGAGGTAGTGTGTAAGCCATAACCGTGAACTCGCGCGTCTTTGCGAGACCCCGACCTATGCGGTTTTTGACCTACATGAGGTCGAGGCCGAGGACGCGGAGTGGAGGTGGAAACTCACTGTTAGTAGTACTGCAGCTTGGGTGGTCGATCTCACGTCATGGCGGCTGAGATCAAGGTGAGCCAGCTCACACTTATCGATCTATACCGTAGGGTGGTCCGTTAGGATATCGAAATAGTCTTGAGTTCTTGTGGAGGCGTTCAAGGGACAATTGTTTTTGGACTCTTTCAGGCCCTGACGAAGGCGAGGAAGCCGAAGCGTTGGCCAATAAATTGTAAAAATCTTGGACGGCTCAAACTATCCACCGGTCCTGTGATTCTTGCAGCCTCGCCCGAGCGGTCCCAGCCGAAGTCGCTCTGTCGGTGGTTCCCTCAGGTTCAGGGGAATGAGGCCCATAATTATTACTGTTCTCGGCGTGAAGAAATTTGACCACGCGTAGCTCGCCAGGCTCTGACGTGGCACCCTCCGCATTAGTACAGTGTTGGAACAGTCCAAAGCATTCACCTCCACGCCACGTTGAGGCTGTGGATAGGATTTGTGGGGTTGCCATACCTCATCCTTTGACACATATATGCAAATTAACCAGCATACTGTCTCTGGGAATGTCTCCTGCAGTACTACAGTAATGGCGTACAGTAATTGTATCTAACTGAATAGCAATTGGCACTCGAGGAACTCAAGCGCACAGCATATCCGCAGCGAATCTCGGTACGCTCAAGGCCGTCAGAAAGAAAGAGTGGAGAATGCGAGTGAATAGCACTCGATTCAAGGCTACAAATGCGGGTGTCGAGCAATAGTGCAGCGAAAGCTGTATAGACGCAGACTCACTCACTTCATTTGAACAAATACACCATAGTGAGGCAGAAGGGTGGCATTTGCAGCACCACGGTAAGAACCCCACGATGTCAAAAGTAATTCACGTGCGTTCAGGATGTCATGCGATTTCTTCAGTTGCACTCCAACTGGAAAGTTAATATCTATATCTGCAAATGAGTGAGGAATCAAAAAAGCATACCATTGTCTTCAATTTTCTGGTAAAGAGCGAGAAACTTGAATGCAGCATAGTCACATCGATCAAACCCAAGAGCGTGTAATCTACCAATCAATTCAGTCCACTTATGGATATAAACATCGCAACCCATGAGAGCGAGCATGCCTGCCGGAAGACTGCAAAGTAATATGATTATTCGGAAAAGATAATTCTCAACAAATATCCGCTCCCATCTGGACTGAGCGATCTTCGTGATAGATATCTCACGACCTCATCATCTCGTAAATTTCAGTCAAGTTGAATGCCGTTCTCCATTGTGAGGGGTTATCAGATATGGAATAGATGGCGGTAATGGTTACGCTAAGAGCTACACAATCTCTCTACGGACACATGCTCCACCGCCACTACTAACTAGTCTCAAAAGTAGCATCATTACAAATGGTTAACGATTACGGTAATGTGTAAAGAAGCTACGAGACTTACTCAGCACCATTAGGCAATTTGACTACATGAGATATTTCCCCCTTCAACACAGCATAACTGACGTCGATCATATGAATAGAGGCCCAAGATGATTGCAGCATTATCATTTGATCTTCCATCTGAATAAAATAAAAACCTCGGAGAATCTGAACCATAAGAATCCACAAATCACACCAGATGGGTCTGCTGTAGGTAAGCATGACAGAGTAGCTACACAATTCCATGGACCCTATGCCAGCGAATGGTACATCGATTACTCATGCATCCCCCCCCCCAATGTGGGAATGAATAGGTGAAACGACAATAAGAACGGAAAAATTTCAATGCTGCAGAGAGAGCTGATCTCAGGCGAGTTGAGGACGAGACATTCCCAGAGGAACAAAGATCATGCGAAGCATCATACAAGAGGTCCACTCCACTGCTCTGAGTGCTTCGAATGCTGAAGATGTTGTTCCTTAGTAAATGAACGAACCTCCAGCTGATTAAAGTACGGGGCATTTTTAGCCCACGACACGAGCTCATTCATATTCGCCTCAACCACGGCCATCGAATAATTGAAGGGATCCATCTTATCAACCTTGTGAAGAATAGTTAGAATCCTATAATAAACACAATGTTATCGGAACTGGATCATTTCAACGAAAAGGGGATCCCAAACAAAAGCTTACCGCGGGCTATCTGAAAGCGCTCCCACTAACAATTCCATTTCGGTGTTACCCACGTAGAAAGAATCCACCACTTTTTCACTTTGAAGAGGGCAGGTCGGCAGAATTGGAGATGATCGGCTTGACCCTCAACATGAGAAGATAGTGGCAGCTGTCCGGCTTCATCGCTGGACACTACTCATGGCAAAAAGAACGTAATAATTCAAAACTAAATACCGGAACTAGAAACGCTTCTTATAGAGCTTGTCGTCATCATCGATGAATAAGTGGCAGGAGTGTGAAACGCAGAGTAATCGGCAATTTGAGCAGGTAGATACTGTTCTGTGTAGTCAAATGGTTCCGGTTTTATCGTTGAATATATAGGAAACGGCTGCGATCGCAATAGTGGATCATCAATCGATTGTCCCAAGAGGGCTGCTAAGCTGTCGTTATCAGGATTATAAGGATTTGGACGATGAATAATGAAATCTGAAACTGTAATCGCGGTCAAATGAACTCAAGTTTTGCAATTCTCCCTTAGAAGAACATTCAGTGCCTGCTCGTAATACTGCCGGCACATTCACTGATTAACGTACTGCTTTGGCTGGGAGTACTACTGGAAAGTGTTGGACTCTGCAACATTGAATCGCACTCTGTTTTCACTTTGTGATTGTTCCCATCGTAGTAGTGAATATGCGGCGGCTGGTCAGAAGTGCTGAAAATTATGCACAGGGAAATTCTTCGATAACTGCTATCAGGGCTCACCATGCGCTGTGTGAAATACAATAGAGAGTCGTACTTGGCCACAGGAGCGGGGGGGAGGGTCGTGTTTTATCACCAGGAATTTTTTTTGATTTGTGGTTTTTCCCGTTTCATGCGCGCTACACTCCATATATCAGAGATGAGCAGGGTGTGGCTGCGTCCATCCTCTGAAGCTGGCGGTAGCTTGCTCCCAGTGAGACAGTGTTACTTTGGAACAATTGTTCCCATGTCTTTCTCTACGAGAAGTGATAACCGCACCCGTTCCAAAGGAAAATATCTCACGAAAAATGGATATCACGCCGTGTTCGAATGAACTGCGCAGCCACGCCCTCCACGTGCATCAGCACTTCATTCAACCACCACCTGAAATTCATTTTTCATGGTATATTTCCCTTTGGGATAGCCACCGTCATCGCTTTTCCTGGACAAAGATATAGGAGCAATATACCAACATTAATAACAATAACAATATCAAAATAAATACTATCTCAACAGAAGCTCATCCCGCTAGACCTCACGGCAAAATTTTGAGAATGTTCAGCAAGATGACATGTAGGATGCGAAAGGGGATCGCACCAAAGGAGGAGATTTTAGGCGAGGGGGATGCATTTTGGAAAGAAAAGTTCCGCATCTTGATGGTGAGCCCTGTCTTAGACAATAGCCTTGAAATGAATTATGATTTCACTAGGACAACGAGGGACGAACATCGTTCCCAAATATTATTCTTGACCACAAACCGGACATATGACGGTGTCGCTCAAATTTGCGTTTTATCTTTCCTTCAAGGAATTACTTGCGAATCACCTGCTCGATACTTGATGATCCATCGGGGGTTGAGATGAATAGAAAACACTCGAAGGGGGCTGTAGAGCATTGCCTCGGAGAGCGATGCGCTGCATTCGAGCCGCCCGATCTCTTTTGTAGTAGGACCCAAACTTGTTCCTTCCTCCACGCATTCGATCTTCGCGAACAGCTGAAGTTTCTTCATCGTTTTCAAAAGTCTTAAAACGAATAAGGCATCATTCCCAGAAACTGCTATCCAAATGATATAAAAAGTGTTACATTTCAGGCTGCTAATCAATGCAAGGTTGCACTACCAACAATTACCGCACTGAGGACGCTAGAAAAATTCCGCAAGCAAAATTAGTGACAACTGGACCCGCAAGACAACACCGCTGCGGTACTCCTCGTTTTCATTCCCAATTGGTGTTTCGTAAATCAAAAGTTGCTGGCATGTACATGGCTAGGAATGCTCTAGGCGTGTTTTCTGGGGAATAAGCATATTCGAGGCTCAAATATTGACAATTGCTGGGTAACTGGTATGTTACTCAGTTGGTTTCTTGAATGTAATCGTACCTTCTTATCACACCTACTAGCTGAATACAATTTATGCAACAAACTTTGTGATGTTATCAGCATTGTCGACGAAAAAAAAGGTGCCACCCTATGTTAGGTGTTCCCGCCACATTCAAAAAAGTAACATTCGTCGTTATAACTTAGGAAAAAAATCGGACAGTAAAACCATCTTCTTTTCGCATATAGTGCTCGAAACGATCGATTTATTGTGACCTACTTTTACGTTACGGGTGTGTTCTCGAACGGAGATAAAACACACGTTAGGAGCATATTGCAGAGAAAGTCTGATCGAAAACATGAATGTAGCCATTTGTTGGCTTACTATTGAACTTGTACGCAGTACAGTGGACAAGGACGAAGCATTTTCAACGATGTGCTCCTACCTTCTATTTTCATACCCTCTGCCATGCACTTGGCAAAGCGACAGCTCGGACAGCGCTTCCGACAGGTTTTATCGACGTGACACGATGAATCCGCAGAACATTGGTAGTGCTGAAACCATTTCCTTCCTGAGCGAAAGACAACCAATGTACCAACGAAAGATGTGAGAACATTGTGAGCAGGAGTGAAGACGAAATGATAGTAAATGTCACAGTAGTAAATCATAGAATCACATTAAATTCCTAGAAATTCTGTGGTTTGCCTACATTATGCTACAGTATCGTTACAAGTTATACTAGAAATTCTAGACAACTCACTTTTTTGTTCTGAACGGTGCGTTTGAAGAACCCCTGAAATGAGTATGGTCGGGATCATGTAAGAGCACCTGATCTCAAGGGCCAATACAGGAGGTTCTCTTGAAAAACTGGAGGCAATCAGGAGGATCAAGTGTAGACTCACCTTGCAGCTTTCGCATGTCAGCAGGCCGTAATGGTATCCAGACACACGATCGCCACATACAGGACAAGCTTCGGCTTCGAGTTTCGGTTTCAGAACGGTATCAACACCTACCATGGACTTACTCGGTGCCTAACATAGACCACAGCTCCCTTCGACAGTGTGAGCCGCCCTCGTTCTGCGTATATGCGTGCACCACAGTATGTCGCCATGTGTCCAAGGTCTCCTATAGTGCACGCTCTATTCCCTCAGTTGTGTTCGGGTGAGAGTGTGAAGGTCGTGAGCTGGTACTGTAACAGTTAAAAAGAGAGAGATTCCGTGCCAGGTACGCAAGTTTACGCCTACGGTAAAACACGTGTTGAAATATGATTAGTCCAAAAGGGACCAATTCACGGAATTTAAGAATATTGCAAACTCGATATCACTTATGACCACACATTATCTAAAGACATTAACGAAACGAGTTCCCGAGGAATAGAACTTGTGTTTCGTTCCAACATGCGCGCTTAGGATGGAACAGTGCCTCCTAGGTATCGAATGAAGTCGTCGGGTACCGTCAAATTTGACGATAATGAGACTTAATTGGATGTTTTTATTTGAAAACTGTAGGAGTTTCGGAGTCACCCTGGTGTTTCACTGAGCCTCCATCTTCATAGTTTACCAAGTCGCGCTATAATAAAGTGACAATCAAAACAAGATCTCTTCGAATGTGAACCAAAAAAGTTTGTGGAAAATACATGGTTTTCACAACACTTTGGAGCGCTGTCGTATCGGAACGTTTTCTATTATACAGTCGGTAAGACCAAAGTATTAGTTATTATTACCAGTCGGCTCGCCGGCTGACAACGGCGCGCTTCCTTCTGTGATACGGCCCGGCTTGGCCGGAGGGCGCGGCTTCTCCGCGCTTAAATTCTTCCACATGTTTATACCATTTTCGCTTCTAATTCACCACTTTTCAAACCGAAAACACCACTTTCAAACCAAATTCACCACTTTTTAAAAAAAATTCATCACTTTTCAAATCAAATTCACCACTCTTTTCATACCGGGCAGTTCACCAACCAGATCACGCCAGACACCACTGCGAGCTCCGCCCAGACGGCCACGCCTACTTGTGAGCGCGGTCATGGATGTTCAACACATCGACACATGGTCGACTCCGCCCATTCTTCAAAGGGTTTGTTGCAAACTTTAGAATTTCATTACTTTTTCAAACTCTTTGATTCACATCCACTCTTTGCACAACGAAGACACTCCTACCCGCGCATCCATGCACTGACAACTTAGGCTCCGTCCCCTTGGCCACGCCCACTTGCTTTTTGCGGAATTCTGATATTTTTCAGAATTTATGCATTTGTAGACTGCTCCATGAAGCTCCGCCCACTGTGGGAGGCTCCGCTACTTCGAAGGAGCCCCGCCCACTTTTCAAACATAGTGCAAATCGGCAGTATAGAGTCTTGACCCGTATGCCAGAGTCTCTTCCGTCACTCGGAACAAACTTTGCCTGATTTATTTGTTCCGAACCACGGACGAGACCCTAGCATGCGAGCCAGGACTCTATACTGTCGACATGCACCATGTTTGAAAAGTGGGCGGGGCTTCTTCGAAGTGGGCGGAGCCTCTAACAGCGGGCGGGGCTCCATGGAACAATCCAAAAACGCACAAATTTATCAAAACTCCAAAAGCAAGTGGGCGTGGCCAAGGGGACGGATTAAAAAAGTTATGAAGTTTCGAAGTTCGCAACAAACCTTTTGAAGAATGGGCGGAGTCGGCCATGCGTCAATGTGTTGAAAATCTATGAGCGCGCTGACAAGTAGGCGTGGCCGTCGGGGCGGAGCTCGCACTGGTGTCTGGCGTGATCTGGTTGATGAACTGCCCGGAGTGATGAATATGATTTGAAAAGTGGTGAATATGATCTTCGGATACTTTTCAAATCAAATCGGGCACTTTTCAAATCGAATCGGACAGTTTTCAAATCAAATCGGACAGTTTTCAAGCCAAAGTCGGACACTTTTCAAACCAAATCGGACACTTTTCAAATCAAATCAGACACACTCCTTACAATTAGGTGGTTGATAACAAGACCACATTAGGTACTGTTGCAAGTCCTGCCCCATTATCCCCGCCCACTTCTCAGCGTGGACAGGATTTTCCGAGATGCTTCATGAAATCTGCTGCTTCGACTTTTTTTCCGTTTTTGACCTTTGCACACACACTACTCAACTGAAAAATATTGGTGCCTATGACAGATCTGCACTCCGCCCCACTTAACAATGAAGTACGTAAGTTTCGAATTTTAAAACGTTTTGAACGGGAGTTCTTTTCACATCCATCTCCAAAACGATAAACATGCAACAGCACACCAGCCCCGCCCCCTGACCCACTGTTTTATGCGCGCAATTTGTTTTCTTCCGGGTTTGCTTTAGGCTTTAGCGATGGCTCCGCCCACCAATGAAGCTCCGCCCACTTTAGGGGAAGCCCCGCCACTTTATCAAAATGATGCAAGGCGCTAGTGTCCGCCGTGGATTACGCCACTAGCGGCGCCAGAATCAAATTTCCCTTTTTTTCCGCTTTGCCGCTTTTATTCTATGTCCGGAGAGGCCGTAATCCGCCAGTTCGGCTCTAGCCTCGCGGATCTTGCATCTTTCGAAAAAATGGACCGGGCTTCCCAAAAATGGGGCGGAGCTTCATTTTGCCGAGCCAATCGCTAAGCCTAAAAGCGAAATCCGGAAGAAAAAACGCCAAATGCGCGATAAGGTCACAAGTGGGCGGGGTCAGAGGGGCGGCCTGGTGTCTTGGTGCCATGTTTATCGTTTGTGAATGATGATTGAAAAGAACTACGTCAAAAAAAATGATAAAATCCTCAGAACTACGTAAACTGCATTTAAGTGGCGAGTCCAGATCTTAAGTATCACTCTTTTCATTTGATTTGTGTGCAAAGTAAAAACGAAAAAAAAGCCGAAAGAGGCAGATTTCATGACAGGCATTCTCGGAAAATCCTGTCTCCACGCGAGAAGTGGGCGGGATAATGGGCGGGACTGCAACAGTACCTAATGTGGTCTTTATCAACCACCCAATGTAAGGGGTGTGTCGATCTTGATTTGAAAAGCTGTCGCGATGTGGGTTTGAACCAGAAGTGTCCGAGACTGAAAAACTGTCCGATTGATTTGAAACTGTCCCGATTCCGGTGATTGAAAAGAGTGCCCGATTGATTGAAAAGTGTCGCGATTGTTTGAAAAGTGTCCGATTTGTTTGAAAAGTGTCCGATGTGGAAGTGAAAAATAGTATATAATAACCATTTCAACTTTATAATCGGACCAAAAATTCACGCACTTTAAAACCCAATTCACCACTTTCAAATCCAAAGTCACCATTTTTCAGATCAAATATTCACATCAACTTCAAATCAATATCATCACTCGCGGGCAGTTCACCAACCAATCACGCCGAGACAACCAGTGCGAGCTCGCCCGACCACCCCACGCCTACTTGTCAGCGCGCTCCAATAATTTTCAAATCACATGACGCATGGGCCGACCCGCCCATTCTTCAAAATTTGTTGCGAAACTCGAAACATCCATAACTTTTAATCCGTCCCCTGCCACCCCGCACTTGCTTTTGGAGTTTTCGATAAATTATGCGTTTTTGGATTGTTCATGGACCCCGCCCGCTGTTAGAGGCTCCGCCCACTTGAAGAAGCCCCGCCCACTTTTCAAACAATGGTGCATGTCGATCAGTATAGAGTCCTGTCTCGCATGCAGGGTCTCGTTCGGGCGGAACAAATAAATCAG